CATGCATGAAATTTTATTGCAAAAACTAAAACTATAGTTGGAATCACAGGAAGTGCATTTCTACTACTCAAATTATATTAACTGGTCGTACTCAAAGATGTGAAGTCAATGGATCTATTTCAGGGGACAATGATGCCAAATGTGGTGTACTCCAGGGGTATATATTAAGACCACTATTCTTCTTACTCTATACATTAATGACCTACCCGCATGTCTGAGTAAAAAAATCGCGGTTGTTTGCATGCTGATGATACAAATATCACAGCAGCTGGAGAATGCTTAAGTGACCTTGAAGATGCAGTGAATTCAGATTTAGAAATGCTTGTAAATGGCTCATGGCAATTTATGACAGCGCACATATCTAATTGACTTTGTGTAATTTAGGGAGCATTCATTTTTTAGCTAGGGGGGGGGGATGGGCCTGAGGAACTGATGTCTAATTCCATGCGAAAACTTGGAACCCCCAAGAGAAAAGTTGAGTAAAAATTATGACCCCCTATTTTCTTACTGAAAATTTTTTGACCCCTCATCCTAAGTATTAATCCACACGGTGTCGTTTCCATAGTGTTTCAGGGCCGTAGGAAGCTCTTTTTTATTGGGGGGCTGAAAGCGAGAGCAGAAGGACGCTCTAAGACGCCATTTCCTGGCCTTTGGGGGAAGATTTGACGGCAAAATTCTGATGGTCAGAAAACAGCGTTTTAAGGACTGGTCATAAAGTAACTGCTAGGGTGGGCTGGAGGTAAATCACAAATTTTGCCAATAAGTTTGGTGACCCATCTTAGAATGTACATAAAAATTTCAAAGCCCACCTAATCTTACCAAATTTATTTCATGACCCACCCACCCAATCTAAATTTGGAAAATACACGTTTGTAGTAAAAAAACAAACTTGCAGGTAGGAACATTGTAAACATACACCGGCACTGTATTGACAACAATTCCATCAAGCTTGACCAACACATTCACCAATTACGATACTGGACTGCTCTCCAGTTTGTTGTATTCAATTCTTCTTGTTGTATAAAACAAAGTACTGGCTTCAATAGCATCATTTCCATTTGATATATTGGATAGTTTTGTTTACTTTTATTATTAATATATTTATATAATATATAATTAACATGGGTCTTTGTTTGGTGACCCAACTGTGGACATTCAAAAAAATTGGCGGCCCATCGAAACTGCCCAAAAAATTTTCCATGGCCCATCCCAAATCACTCCAGCCCACCCTAGCAGTTACTTTATGACCGGTCCCTTAGTATGTCAAAATTGACAATTTGGTAGTACTAAATGGGCGAAGGCGTATTTAATTTACTATATGTTGGATAACTAGGATAAGTTGCAGGAAACTGTGGGTACTATCTTCATTCTTTGCAGTTTATCATGGATAATGTAGCCGCTTAAAATTAATAAAGCTTAAAATTGATCAAGTTCTGCATGATTTTGAAGTCATGCAGACCTTGAAATCATGCATGATTTTGACATCATGCTACGGTCCTGTTTTCTTTCATTCATGTTTTCACACAAAAACGGATAAAAACGAGGTCAATTGACAAACGTCCTGGAAATGTTTTCCTATGGACTGTGTGAACAGAGCGTCAAATGAATTTTGCTTCATTGTTATAGATGACGAGATAGTTGATAGATTCTAGACCTTTTCACCATTCTTGATCCAAATATTTCCAAATTCAATAAAATCATATTGGTGATTTTTTCACTGATTATTTTTATGACCCCCTCCATTTATAACAAAACTATAAAAAGACCCACCCCTTTGAAGCATGTCAAAATTGGCTGACCCACCCCCAAATTCCTCCGGCCCACCCCCCCCAGCTAAAAAATGAATGCTCCCTTATCAGATTTAATTACGATGACGCCTGCCACATGCATAGTCAATTTTGAGACGGATTCTCGCTTGTTTATAGGCTTGCACAACCTACGAGTAAGTAACCATTTGAAAGAGCACATATTTTTCTACGATATATGAAATTTTAAGAAAATCTTATGGAAGAGCGGGCAAGATTTTTATATTTTAACAGACAGTTGTTCAAAGCCCATATAATTGGGTTAATATGACGCGCGAAGGGCAGTCCTGTTTGAGTGGGATTTTCGTTCATTTTCAGGCTTGCACCACTTTAATACGTGTATGTAACCATTTGAAGGAACATATAATTTTATACAATACATTAAAGTTTAAAAAAATTGCATAGAATAGAGGGCAAGTTATGGATGGTTAAACAGGCAATTTTTGACGCACACATATATAAATGACTTTGTGTATATATCAGATTTAATTACGATGACGCCTGCCACATAGTCGATTTTGAGACGGATTCTCGCTTGTTTATAGGCTTGCACAACCACAACCTACGAGTAAGTAACCATTTAAAAGAGCATATATTTTTATACAATATATGAAATTTAAGAAAATCCTATAGAATAGCGGGCGCAAAATCTACAAATTAACGGGAAGTTCCTCGCAACGCATATAATAAATGGCTTAGTATATATAAGACACGCGGTAATACAGCCGGTCCAATTTGAATGGGATTTTCGTTCATTTTAGGGCTTGCGCAACCTACGAGTAAGTAACCTTTTGAAAGAGCATGTAATTCTATACAATATATGAAATTTTAAGAAAATCCTATAGAATAGCGGGCGCAAAATCTACAACTGAATTAGCCTAACAGGAAGTTCTTCGCAACGCATATAAATGGCTTATAATAGTATATAAGACACGCGGTAATACAGTCCAATTTGAGTGAGATTTTCGTTCATTTTAAGGCTTGCGCAACCTACGAGTAAGTAACCTTTTGAAAGAGCATATAATTTTATACAATATATGACATTTTAAGAACATCCTATAGAAGAGCGAGCAAGATTTTTACATTTTAACAGACAGTTGTTCAAAGCTCATATAATTGGCTTAATATGACGTGATAGAATGTCCAATCTTTCTCGGCGACGCTTGCGACCGTCAATTAAGAACTAGCCAATAGAAAGGCGCGTTCCGAAGGGTGAAGATTTACTGATAATAACACCATTTTTAGCGATCTTGTTTGCGTCGTGTGTTTCGGATATTAAGCATGTTTATATCGTTAGTTCTTCAGAAAAGCGCAACAAATGATATTATGTTATTAACATATCAAATTATTACTCATATAAAGCGTAAATGTACGGATACCAAAGTTGTTGTATTTACGGAAGGATAAAATTAACACAACCGGGCCCTGCGTGAAATTAGACAGTTCAACTTTGCGCGAGTTATTTATCGCGGTATCGCGATATGGAAATGAGTTCAACGCTTGACATTACTTTTGAATACATTCTCTAGAATGGTCATCAATCAAAATTTTACGTTTTTCGTTATAAAGGTAAAAAAATAAGGTTTTAAACGAGCTTTGCTATCTATCCCACCGCTGACCAGCCCCTTTGTCAGAAAAAAACAGTGATCTTTCACAAGCTACCATGGACGAACGGAACGGAATAATGTCTTCATTTTCCCTCACGTACTAAGGAATATGACAAGTAAAAATGGTCTTTCAAAAAAATTGGATTTCCATTAATTAGTGGTTAAGCGGCCAAAGCAGTTTATTTACAAACTAGTCGTTCCAGCTCCAGGTTGAAATCGAACCTGGAGCTGGCTCCAGGTTCGCGAACCTGGAGCTGCGAACCTGGAGCCGTCTGTCTCGTCATATTTACTTATCCAACCAACCTCAATATCTGAAAAGTAAAAGAGATACGGAAAAACTTGATAATAAAAGTAAATTTATATTAAATTATATTAAATAAATTACCAATAAAAGTATATTTGGAATAGTGTAAATTTCAGGGTGCGATAATTCGCGTATACCGGAGGTACGCCAAATTTATGGTCTGGTACTTCTTTGTTTTTAGGCAAGTACCACGTAGGTACGAGGGAATTTGCTATTCGCGTACTTACATTTTCCTTCTAGCAATAACTAGCAAACCTGCGAAAGTATTCAAAACGTGAAGAACTTTAGCTGTAGATGTAAATTCCACGCATCCGACATATTTTGGGATGAAAAAAGCCAAAAGGTTATCTTTGCGCTTGATCAAAAAATTTATCGTTATCATCCGACTGAAAAAAATCACTCGGGTGAGCGATTTTAAAGTCGTTATCGTCAAACGCCGATAATTTTATCGTTTTTGTTGTAGTGTGGACACCAACATAATTTTTTTACCAATCATCGCGTATTTACAAGTTATCGTATCATCGTTGTGTGGTGTGACCTGGGCTTAATTGTCAATGCTATACCAAGGCCTAAAAATAAAATACCTGCATGTGGGCTGGTTGTGGGCTGCTCGAACAGCGTGCCAAAATGGCGTCTGTTGTCACAATAATTATTGAACCAAATTGCCTAAATTCGTCCGTAGGAACTACGCATCTCTAGTTAATATTGATGTCGGGGCTCTACTGAAAATCGCCCAGCAAAAAAAACGCCATAACCATGAAAAAAATATTTTAAAAAATTTTTATTTCCGACCTACCTACCCTAATTTTTTCGCGATATGAATCCGGAACCACAGGTTTTTTTTTAGGTCCAATGAGGAAAACTACACTGTATTATATAGCTGAGGTCAGACTGTTTAGCACCCTCGGTAAATCCACTGTAAATGAGCGATGGCATTCGAGTCACAACGTCGACGCTTTGAAAACTGTTATATTATGTTGTACAAATACCATAATTAAAGATTCATTTGTTCAAAATTGCCATACATTTTTTGCTTTTGGACCAGTAAACTATACGTAGGTATAAAAATGCATGACTCGGAATTAGTCTTCGGTACGTCTTGACTCTTAAGTTTGTACCAGACCAGGTACGCGACAAAAGTTGTCGGAGTACCAGTCAGGTACGGCTAAAAATATTGAATTATCGCACCCTGCATGTCATATTGCCCAAAACTGGATATTTCATTTGATAGAACTACCAAACTTTTGTATAGTAAACATTTTGACCATGCCCATAGGTACTCAAGTTGTGAATTCAGTAAACAGTTCAATGGAAACACCACTACATGTTGCATGTATGGTGAACAATGCTAAAGGAGTTCAGGTACTATTGTAGGGATGTACTGAGAATCTGGTTAATCCATTAAGTTGCATTGTCATATGAGTCACGATTTAAGTTCTTAAATCGTTACTATTTTTAGGGTTGGGATTAGGGGTTGGATTAGGGAAAGGATTAAGATTAGGGTTAGGATTAGAGAAAGGGTTAGGTTTAAGGTTAAAATACAAAAGAATACAAAATTTAAAAAGTCTAAAAATGGTAACTCTTCCTAAAACGTGGCAGGTAAATGCATTATGCCCTAGTACACCTTAATTTATTATTTTACTCTGTTATTGATTTCAAGTCACTACTTTTCAACGCGCGGTTCCCAAGTTCGTTGCAAACTTGCCAATTACGTTTCCAAGTTCAAAAATTAGGCGTGAACTTCGCATTTCACTTCAAGTACATTTCAATGTTTGAATTATTGTAAACAAATATTCATAGTTTAAGTTGAAATTAACAATTCAATGGAAAGTTGTTGTTCCAGTGGTCTACCAAGAAGGTTTGTACAGTATTTCATTAAATTGGTTATTATTATTTATATGAACATTTGTTTACAAACCTGAAGTTCAAACATTGAAATGAACTTGCGAACTTTGTTGCAAAGTTCGCGCCCAAATTTCCGAACTTGGAAACGTAATAGGCCAGTTTGCAACGAACTTGGGAACCACGCGTTGAAAAGCGACTTGAAATCGACAATATTAACACCTGATTATTTTAATACTCTGTCTAACACCAGACGAATTTATGTACTTGCCAAGCCCAAGGTGAGAGTGTTGGCACTGAATGGGTTAAGCAATCAATAAGCTTCGTCAATGTGCCCTGATGCTACTCGTCAAGGCATAGTCAATAGAATAGAGCTGTGCAAACTCCGATTATTTTAGCTCCGGCAGTCAAAACTCCGGTTCCGGCAAGGAAATTTTAAGGAAATTTCACATTTAAAAGTAGAAACAGGCGAAAGTATTTCAGTGTAATTTCAGGATTTATTTTATTCCTTTTTGAGCTTTCTCCTTTACTTACCAAATATACGTGCTTTGGTGCTTGTTTAATTAAACAATGTTTTGTAGAAAGTAAAACCGCATGGCAGCGTGGTATTTTCGCCCAGAATACATCGGAGTCTGAGCAGATTTTTGTATCAAAAGCGATAGCAATGCGCTTGCAGAATTTTCGAAGCCTCGAATCGGAGCAAGTAATTAAACTTTATAGTAACTTCAAATCATTTAACTTAATTTGTCCATTACCAAAAGTTCATTGAAGTCACGTGATTTGCAAACAAAGAATTACACAATGGTTAAATGAGAACTTAGCTATTGGTTGCTCTGGCGAAAAAACAATACATACGTTGATAAAAACATAGATATAATGAGAGGTCTATTACGTCTGCATTGAGTTTTCTAACTTTCTTATTTTATTGAGAACGCTGTCACTCGATGGTTTATATAAACTGTTAAACTAATTCAGTTCATTATCCCACAGCTTCTACTTGAAAATGGTGCAGATATGAACTTACCAAGCCAGTATGCATATCCAATCCACTCTGCAGCCAAATACAACAGCAATGACTGTGTCAAACCTATCGTGAAGTTTGATGAACAATGTGTGCACGTTAAAGATACTAAATATGGTGGCACACCATTGCACTGGGCTAAAACTAGACAGGTACTGTATCTTTGTTCTTTTCTGCACTTAGCAATTTTCATTCGTTTTACAAATTGGTGGGTTTCAGTAACCTGCATGCATGGCCATAGAAATGACAGCTGTTGTTTTCTGTTTCAGACTGTGGAGCTGTTGCTAGCAGCAGGCGCTGATATCGAGGCAGGAAACAACGAGTGTGAAACTCCACTGCATATTATGATCAAGAGAAAACGTCTGCAATGTGTTGTGTGCTTGTTGTCGCATGGAGCTGATGTCAATGCCTTGGGGATGGAGAATGATACACCACTACATATGGCTGTAAAAGTAGGTTCATAATACCTACAAATGAAGATTAAACTGGATGTAGCTTTATCAGTTCTAAACTGTTCTCCCAAGAGATCCAGTGAGAGTCATTTCTTATTGATCCAGTGTTACTACAGGAGGAAACCTAAACTAAACTAACTTTATTTATACGTACTGGATAGCTCTATCAGTTCTAAACTGTTTTCCATAGGGATCCAGTAAAAGTCATCTCTTATTGATCCAGTGTTACTACAAGAGAAAACCTAAACTAAACTAACTTTATTTATACTGGACAGCTCCATCAGTTCTAAACTGTTCTACCTAGAGGTCCAGTAAGGATTATCTCTTATTGATCCAGTGTTACTACAGGAGGAAACCTAAACTAACTTTATGTATATACTGTACTGGATAGTTCTATCAGTTCTAAACTGTTGTCCGTAGAGGTCCAGTAAGGACTGTCTCCAGACTGAACTAACTTTATTTATACTGAATAACTTTATCACTTTTAAATTGCTTTCCCAAAATCTAGTAAGGACTATTTCTGATTAATCCAGTGTTATTGTAGAAGGAAGCCTAAAAAAACAACTGTATTTATGTTGAATACCTCCATCAGTTCTAAACTGTTCTCCCTAGGGGTCCAGTAAAAGCCATCTCTTATTCATGCAGACGTGTTTCTTGTGTTTGAATATAGGTTGGAGATGTAAACGTCGTCAAAGCATTGATCGTGTTCGGTGGAGATATAAACGCAGTGAATAAGAAGAATGAAACTCCACGCCATCTTGCTACTGTGTCCAAAAGTCGTTTCAGGAATCAGATTATTCATGCGCTGTGTCTTGTGGGAACTACCCCATGTGATCCAAGGAAGTGTAACTATCAATGTAATGTACCATTCAAGCCGTCCACGTATCCTCTAGGTAAGTGAGAGCAATGGCAGACTGGTATCCAGTCGAAAAAGCATGTCCATATACTGTATGGACTAGCCAAACACCGATCTAGCCAATGAAACATGCTAAAACTATCATGTTTCGCTCGCTACTCTGGTTTAAATAAATGATTACAAAGCCCAGTCGAATTGTAATCAAGACCCAACGTTTCGACACTCCAGTCTAGTGTCTAATTCATCAGGGGTGATCTAAAATTGCAATCGTGGCTTCTTAAATACCCAAGGGATGACGTCACCTGCCAATGAGATGCATATATTTCTCTGGCAAATAGGCACCGTCATCCCTATTCAAAGCATGATTACTCATATTTATATGCCATGCTTCTAGGCAAAGTCTTTGACCATAGCGAGGTACAACCACATGAGGTACAGCCAAGTATAAATTAATATTTAAACATGCTTACGTGAGATAGGTCTTCTCATTTTATTAGCCACTAATGATTTTATTGAAGAAGGGAAAATTCGTTTTATTTTCCAAGAGTTCGATGAATTTCGCATCAAGAATTGTTTCGTCTTTGCTTTAGGCGACTATATACCGAATTCTACGTCGCCTTAAGATTTCGTCGCCGTTCAATCGGACGCACCGCAAAGTAAATAAAACCGTCAATGAAAGGAAATTTTAGAAGATATGTAACCCAAATAAACTCAAAATGTCATCGCGCTTCTAAATGTTTGAAAAACTTAAACCGGGATCAAAGGTACACTGTACAGTGTATGTCAGTGAAAATCTCACCGCGTTGTGGAATAGCTTCAAGTGCGTCTGGCAGGGTGGGATAATTCGCGTACTTACGTACCGGAGGTACAGCCAAGTACCACGTAGGTACTCGGAAATCTTGCTATCTGCGTACTTACTTTTTGCTGGTACCACATGACTTTCCAAGCCCAAGGTATTCAATACCGTAATTTAGTTGGTATATCATGTCATGTGTCTGAGATGTCTTGGCATGAAACATGATTGGACTGATGGCACTAAGAAACGTTGGAGTCGATTGTTTGTATATGAAATTGTGCTTCTTTTTCCACCTCGTAGTCTGAACATACTTTTCAGAAACCTGTACTTCATGAACCTTATTTTAAAGACTAAAACACATTGAGTTATTTTGAGTACTGAGTTTGTATATACTACCTCAAGTATGCGGCAACAACCATTGGCGTACCAGTCAGGTACGACTAAAAATATCAGTGAATTGTCGCACCCTGCGTCTGAGCCTTACATGGAATTAAATTATCTGGTCAAACGAGAATGAGAATTGAGAAGCGAGAGTTTGCATGAGAGTTTTCTCAACTCTCATGCCCAAGCCAACGAGAACAAAAGTTGCATGAGAGTTGATGAAAGTTTGACGGTCAAACGCGAGCGAGTGTTGCAACCTCTCATCAACTCTCATTCTCGTTTGACCGAGGCTTTAAATTCGCATCCCCAACATTTCGCCGTCATTGAAATAATGTGATTGAAAAATATTCATATCTTCCATTATACAGCGGCTGCAGAGCCGGGAAATGAGTTGTCAAAGGCACGAGGAGATGTCTCGGTGAAGCTTGATGACGTAGCTAAGATCATGGCGGCCGGAGCTCATGCTAATGTTAAATATACAAAATCTGGAGCGGGTAGAAACGAGAACGATGGACAGTCAATTATGAAGAAGAAGAGGAAAGATGACAGCGCACTTTGTTTAGGTAATGGTAGGAGATATACGTAAGGGTGGTGGGGTAAGGATGTAGCTAAGGGTAATATGGTGAGGGTATAGGTAAGGGTGGTGAGGTGAGGATATAGGTAAGGGTGGTGGGGTGAGGATATAGGTAAGGGTGGTGGGGTGAGGATATAGGTAAGGGTGGTGGGGTGAGGATATAGGTAAGGGTGGGGGCAAGGATACAAGTAAGGTGTTGAGGCAAGGATATAGGTAAGGGTGATGGGGTGAGGATATAGGTAAGGGTGGTGGGGCCAGAGTATAGGTAAGGGTGGGGTAAGGATATATAGATAAGGGTGATGGGGTGAGGATATAGGTAAGGGTGATGGGGCAAGAATATAGGTAAGGGTGGGGATAAGGATATAGGTAAGGGTGATGGGGTGAGGATGTAGGTAAGAGTGGGGGCACATTGCGTGTTTCACTGTAGTTATTATATAAACATCTTCCCTGTATATTTCCAGATGGTGGGGGTATTCGTGGCCTCATCCTCATACAAGTACTTCTGAATCTTGAACGTGTTGCTAAGCAACCACTTGTGAAGCTTTTTGATTGGATAGCAGGCACAGGTACCGGAGGGATTCTTGCTTTGGGTCTCCTGCACGGTAAGTGCACTGATCTCATACTAAACTGGATTCTGGAACATATAAAAAGTAGATTATAGAACGAGATATATATTTTGTTAAATGTCAGGATTTTAGGCTTATTACTCGGTAGAATTAAATGTTGATGGATTTTTGTGGGGCCACAGGTTCGATTCCTGCCAGAGGGCCTATACACACGTAGAAACGCACAAGTTGTTACAAATCTGTTCACAAGCTGTATTCGCATTGGTTGTTCCCAGTTGTTGTAACAAGTTTGGAACAAGCTGTTAACAACTTGTAACAAGCTTGATAGCATTATCAGACTTGTTACAAGGTTGTTCTAACAAGTATGATACAGTCATGATATAACAAGAATGTTACAAGGTTGATGACACAAGGTTGTAACAATATTGTTATACCATGACTGTATCAGACATGTTGGAACAACCTTGTAACAAGTCTTATAATATCAACAAGGTTGTTACAAGTTGCTAGCAGCTTGTTCCAAACTTGTTGACAACTTGGGACAAGCAGTGCGAGCACAACTTGTTGACGGCTTGTTTGCAGACTTGCTACAAGATGTGAGATTTTTGCGTGTGTAGTCGCAGCTGCGAAAGGTACATGTACTGTGCCGCCTCCATTACTTTCATATTTTTTCTTGCAGGAAAATCTACGCCATATTTACAACAACTTTACTTCAGATTCAAAGACGAAGTGTTTGTTGGCGCGCGTCCTTATCCGTCCGAACCTTTTGAGAAATTCTTACAACAGGAATTTGGTGCTGATACCATAATGACAAGTATCGGCTATCCGAGGTAAACTTATCAATCGTCAGAGCAAGCGCTTTTCAACTCCGAGATCGTGGGTTCGATTCTCGTTACGGACTCATGACACTTGTGCGAAAAGAGTCAGTCAACGCTCTACCGAAAGTCGTGGGTTTTCTCCGGGTACTCCCGTTTCCTCCCACAGGGAATGTTGACAGGGTGGGTTGGGTTTAGCCCCTAATTGACCCTTCCACCGTAGCTGTGCTTCGTGATCAGACCGACGAGCCATAAGGTGGCTGCTAGAGGCGTCCTCAGTAAGCCTTCGACTTGATCAAGTCGAGCTGCGTGGCCTGCGTCCTTCGCAATTCGGCTTACTGTAGCCTGAAACGAAGATGAGAGTTAATGAGAATGGACGACTTGCGCTTTAGACTAAATTTTAATCTAAGTATGAACAACGAAATCTACCACCACAGCTAGAAAGAGCGTCTTGGAATTAGTAATATTACAAAGTTTGGTTGCGAAATGTTGTAAAATACGGACAATATAGCCCTTCAAAGTCGGCAAATTTGTATACTTTTGTATTACGTGCGTGAATTGGTAACTAAATTAGTTACCAATTTCCGCACGTAATAGAAATGTATACAAATTTGCCAACTTCGCAGGGCTATAATTTCCGTATTTTACAACATTTCGCAACCAAACTTTGCAGTTTTTCTAATTTTGATAACTTCTTTCCAAAAATATCCTTTGTTATTCCCAGATTAAAAATTTTTCTAAAGCGCAAGTCGTCCATTGTAGTCACGCATTGTTTGTTGAGTGTTCCAACTGTGTTTTAACCTAAATAGAATACATGATCGTGTTGGATTGACATTAAGAACAGCTAACCAAAGTCGCTGACTGTCAACTCTCATGCACTCTCATCCTCGTTGACTTGAGGATGTTCAGCACACACCCACTTACTCAATCTCATAATGAAATTTATAACTGCTGAATCACAAATGAAATCCTTCTATTTAGTTACTAACTCTGTTGTTTCTTGTAGAGTTTTGGCTACAGGCGCAGTCTCGGATCGAATACCTCCCGCCCTTCATCTCTTTCGTAATTTCTCCATACCTGAGGACGATAAAGAACCTGATGAAAATGCCAAGTTTCCGCCCCTCTCGAAACCAAAAGGTTAGCTACTTAGCTTACATGCGTTTCTTTATATACTTCAAACTCTACAGTATAAGGCCCCGTTTACATGAGACCGGGACGAAGTCAACCCAGAATGAAAATTGAAATTGTCAACATGTTTACATGAGACCGGTACGAAAATCACAAAATTTTCAATGTATTCCCCTTGCCAGGCAATTATCTTTTTTAGATGGCTTTTGTTAGCATGTGTTGTTCCAATGTCAAGGTTACATCCGAGACCAGTCTGAAATCATGAAATGTATTTGTGTTTTCATTCATCCCAGTCTGAATTCATGCCGGTCTGAAGTTAGCCTGCATGGCAAATCCCAGGCTTGCCCGATTTTAGGGTCCGCCTGCCATGCAGGCTAGTATGAAGTCAGTCGACTCGCTCCAGCAGGCGGAATGACTTGAGACCGGTCTGAGTTATTTTCGTCCCGGTCTCATGTAAACATCTATTATAAATAATACTATGATCGAAACGAAATGGTCCCGGTTTGATTTCGTTCCGGTCTCATGTAAACGGGACCTAAGGTCCTTTATAATTATCATACATCCATTCTCCTTTAGACCAACTGGTGTGGCGTGCAGCCCGAGGGACTGGTGCGACTCCAACATATTTCCGTGCTCTGGGCCGGATGCTTGACGGAGGTTTGATTGCAAACAACCCAACAATGGATCTCATTTCTTTCATGCATTCCTTCTATAAGAACGCCCAGCCGAAGGCGCCTCCACATGACACGTGTAAGAAAGTCGGGCTCGTGTTCTCGCTTGGCACCGGAGTGCCACCGGAGGTACCCGTCACGAATATCGATGTGTTACGACCGACATCGGTGAGTGACGTAGCCAAGATTGCTTTCGGAGCTCAAGCTTTGGTTGAAATATTGGTGGAACAGGTTAGTAGTGGATGTGTTTTCTTTTGTGAAATACGAGCATGCCAAACCGAATATCTGTAAACACAGCTCCCGTCAGCCCATTAACTTCCGAGTCCGTCATGTTAGAGGAAACCATGAATTATGATCCTTTGCACGGCATTTAGCATAATATTCCATCGTCTTTTCATTGTTTTGAAAATCCGACTGATTTCCACGCCATCCAGTTATGATCCAGCGATCAGAATGTTCCATTGTCTTTTCTTGTTTTGAAAATCCCACTGTTCTCCATGCCATCCAGTCATGATCCAGTGATCGGAATATTCCATTGCCCTTTCTTGTTTTGAAAATCCCACTGTTCTCCATGCCATCCAGTCACGAACCAGTGATCGGAATGTTCCATTGCCATTCAATTTCCATCCAGTGACTGAATGGCATGACAAGCAGTGGAAAGACAATGGCATATTCTGATCACTGAATCTTGACTGGATGGCATGGAGAACAGTGAGATTTTCAAAATAATGAAAAGATAATGGAACATTCTGATCACTGGATCATGACTGGATGACATGGAGAACAGTTGGTTTTTCAAAACAATGAAAAGACACTACTTGAGGAAAGCGAAGGAAACTGGAAAATATCTTCCAACAGTTATAATGAAACAACTGCATTTTAACATACACTAACAATGTACCCCTCGAATGGTACAAACATGACCCTAAAATATATCCTTTAATTTTAGGCGACGTCGTCAAAAGGGGCAGTGGTAGATCGTGCGGCTTCCTGGTGTGAGATGATTGATGTATTCTACCGTCGTATGAATCCACAGATCTACTCAGGTGTCTCTTTCGACGAGAAAGACGACCAAGTCTTGGTGAATATGTTATGGGAATGTCAGGTTTTCATTTTTGAACGACGCCACATCCTAAAAGAAGTTGCTGATCGCCTTACGTGATACACAGAAGTAACTCTAATTATTTACCTTGTTACAGCTTTGCATAAACTAGATGGAAACATAGACATAGTATGGCAGGCGTGAAGAACAGTGGAATTTCTCATTCTCCCAAACTACCACGAGTGTTTCTATAACTGTATACAAAAACAGGAAAAAGTACTTTCTACTTCGTTTATAATATAACTCAAGAAAAGTTTCTATAGCCATTTTTTATATCGATTAATTTACAAATTCTCATTAACTCGGCATAAAGTGCACTCGTTCGGTTGCCCGGGCTTTACTCCTCAATTTGATTATAAAATAGTCAAGTGCTCTATTTAAACAGAGAATTCCCATTTTGTCTTGTGATTCTTTAATTCATTTGGTTGTCAAAACTAATATTGTCACACATTTTTTCAATTACAGCGCATGTTACTCGACCCAATCAACGCTCACGTACTATAAATGGTATACTGTATTTAACAATTATATCACACTTGTGTCGGTTTTCTTTGTTCGTCCGAGGTTTATAACTAGCTTATAGACCTTGAAAAAATGATTGGATTAAACTTGTAGACAAAACGCGAGAATTTTTCATTAAAAATTTTTGAAAATGACAAAATATGTTGGAAAACCTCCACAAGTGTGATATAAGTTAGTTATAAACCTCGAAAGTCGGTTTATAACTGATATATTGCCCCTCGGACGCTACGCGTCCTCGGGGTCAATATATCAGTTATAAACCTCCTACTCGGTTTATAACTCTAACTTATAAAACATTTTCCGTGTTGATATACAGTTATATCAACACGAGTGGAAATAACTATATATCAATACGGAAAAAATGTTTTATATTTGTTTTATAATATAGCACAAAGAAACATAAAGAAAGAAATTTTCCGACGTTTCCGTGTTGACATTGAGTTATATCAAAACGGCTCTTAGCCAATCAGCGTTCAGAATTTACAAATGCTATATTATAAACCAATATAGTAGGTAGACATCATCACAGAGTAGAGACATACAGAGACGTAACTGATGTACCCACTTTTTTTGTGCGCATGCTCGGCAAGTTACTAGATGCATGCATCTGATTGGATGACGACCTGATGACGACTCATTTTAAACTTGCTGAGCACGCGCAGTTGATCATTTTTTGCCCGGTCGCTTGAAAAAAAGTGGGTACATGATAACGTCACAGAATAGGAAGTTATACCAGAAGCGTAACTCGAGCAAATATTTGTCCGCGATTTTACAAGCGATTCGTCATCAATCACGCCATCCTGGCTAGTACAACCGGCACTTTGTACCTACCAAATCCTGATAAAAACTTCCGGCTGTACTAGCCAGGATGGCGTGGCCTGACGTGAGCGAGTTAAAATTTTCGTGGACGTCAAACAATAAGGGAAACGACTAGAGTTACGCTTCTGGTATAACTTCCTATTTATTTATTTATTTATTTATTTATTTAGCTTTGCCAACTAGGGCAGGGTCACCACAACAGCATATGCTCTGTGATAACGTAATCTTCCGCAGTGTTTACAACGGTCAGTTACGTCTCTGTATGTCTTATCTACTCTGTGACATCATAGTAGACATACATGAAGTAATGACAAGGCTTCATCCTAAAGGCAAAGATTAGATACTATAAAGATGTGTCACTCTGCGAAAATTATGTCCGAGATTTTTTTATAGCCGCCATTTTGCCAGTAAGTGTCAAATTCAACGCCATCAGTCTCTTAAATAGTAAAATCCAACGCCATCAGCACAGAATAAGGTACACAGAAGGTCGACTCGAGTAACGCTGCCACGCCATGATTCATCATCAAAATGCTGACGCCATGGTCCTAGCCAGTGCGGGTTTGAGAGGCATACCCCCCCTGGACATCCGCCATTTTGAATAATATCAGGGGGGTGAATGCCTCTCAAACCATAGAGATTATAAATAACACTAGAGGAGGCATTGTAATCTTAATTCAGTAAAAAAAAGGGAACGCGACTATTGGGGGGCAAATTCAAGTCCCGGATGTGTATTCGTGTTCCCATTGGTGACGAGTTTCAAATCAGCCAATGAGAACACGATTTTATATCCGGGACTTGAATTTGCCCCCCATTAGCTGCGTTCCCAATTTTTAACTCGATGCCTCCTCTAGTGTTATTTATAATCTCTATGTCTCAAACGCGCACTGGCTAGGACCATGGCACAGAATAGGAAGTTATACCAGAAGCGTAACTCGAGCAAATATTTGTCCGCGTTTTTACAAGCGATTCGTCATCAATCACGCCATCCTGGCTAGTACAACTGGCACTTTGTACCTACCAAATCCTGATAAAAACTTCCGGCTGTACTAGCCAGGATGGCGTGGCCTGACGTGAGCGAGTTAAAAATTTTCGTGGACGTCAAACAATAAGGGAAACGACTAGAGTTACGCTTCTGGTATAACTTCCTATTCTGTGACCATGGCGTCAGCATTTGATGACGAATTACGGGTTACGCCAAAATCATAGCAAAATCATAGGAAAAACAAAGAAGTCGGCCTTCTGTGTACCTTAATAGTGAGCTTAAGCAAGCGACGTTTTTGACAACACGGACGTCGACCGGAAGTAAAGTTGACGTTTTTCACCAATCACAACCCTTGACCCAGTCTTCTGACGTTACTCATGCCGTTCGTGTTGTCATAGAATAGTGAGCTTAAGCAAGTGACGTTTTTGACAACACGGACGGCATGAGTAACGTCAGAAGACTGGGTCAAGGGCTGTGATTGGTGGAAAACGTCAACTTTACTTCCGGTCGACGTCCGTGTTGTCAAAAACGTCACTTGCTTAAGCTCACTATTAAGTAAGAACAGATGTGTAACTTCAGTAAAAAAGTTGTCCCACGGTCGCCATCTTCCTAGCAAGTGTCGCTCGCGTGACAATTCGTCATTTGGCAATACGTCATTGCTTTCAAAATGCTTTCAACACCTTTTCCACAACTTTAATTGCTTTTAACAACTTTGAACATTGAACAAATGATGCTCTTGATTGTCTAATCCATAAATTTCGATGCAAAAAAGCCGCAATAATATGCAAACGTTCGTGTTTTCCAGGACGACATTTTGCTAGCAAGTGTCATGGCGTGAGCATGACGTGTACATCTAGGGAAATTTGAGGACACGAAGTCCTATTAAGTTACACATCTGGTATATACTTCATCTGTGGTGTTGTCAAAAACGTCACTTGCTTAAGCTCACTATTCTGTGCCATCAGTCTCGCCGCCATTTTGGCAGTAAGTGAAAATTACGGACACGCAAACATTAGGGAAATACGTCGAGTGACACATCTTTTTAATTCATCTTTATAGTATCTAATCTTTGCTAAGGGCCATTCCATTTAATGTCCACACCCCCCCTACGGATGAGTTTTTCTGAAGGGTGACTCGAAAAGTCGTTTCTGAGGGGTTAAGCCTGTCGGCATCCTTTGATCTCTGCGATTTTTCTGAGGGGTAAGGAAAAAATTTACAAATTTCTGAGGGGTGTTTTGTGTCGGCACTTTGATCTTTTTTTCTTAGGGGTTAAAATTTTACTGACCTCATCCGTAGGGGGGGTGTGGATTTTAAATGGAATGGCCCTAAAGGCAGCCATGTTTGCCTTTGTTTGTTGAGATTGAGCGCCCTGGTGACCCGTAATTATGTTTGGGCGTCGCATTTCTTCTAAATTATTCAGTATTTATAGATATTCAACGTTATCCAATCGTTTATATTTCCGTCAAAAACCCGGCATCATAATGTTTAAAAAAATTAAAAAGTTGAATATTACATCCGCCATCGGAATGGGCATTACTTCGTCTGCTTTGAAAGTCGAAGAGAAAACTCCGCTCTTTTACAATGGAGCTAAAATTTGTGAGAAAAACGATAAGGCACAGGAGACGTTTAGGCTTTATTACATATCTCAAAGCGATGTATATGAGGCTGTATTGTATAATCCAGACGAAAGGACAGTGTGTTTGAGTGTCTTTAGAATTGAAGATGAAAGAAAAGCAAAAGATATGTTTCGGTGAGTTCGAAATGATTTTAATGCGTTAGTTAATGAAACAGTTTGTGTTTGTGTTTGTGAATTATTAAATAGATATACAGCTTTGTTGTGCATACAGTGTGTATTAAAATTTATATATACTTGAGTTACTTCGCAGGAAGGGCCATTATCGTCTTCGATGATTGTTTAATAAATTAAACTGTGCAGTTAATATAATAATTACTGTAATATGAAATGTCCGCGAATAATTAGAATTTATTAACGAATTAATTTTAGATCTGAACATGATTTTATAATAGACTCACTCTCTGGCATTTGCTGCTGCATTCTTGAAATGTCATATAATTTTATATTGTACACTGTACAGTCAGTCTCAAATATGGACCACTGATTATGGACACTGAACAGAAAAGTGTATTAATTTAAATAATATGTGACTTCATGCATTTCATTAAAATGAAAAAAGTTTCAGGGGAAAAGCAGGGTTGACAAATTAAATTGACTTGGTATTTGAGGGTTGTATCTAGATACAACCTTCCTAGCAGGGTTGTATACATGCACATACATATACCTTCTAGCAGGGTTGTATTGAGACAACGCTTTATTGCTTACCACAAAGTTTCTTCATTACAATTAGTACATTAACTACAAAACATTGCATTAATATGTTTATCACTGTTTCAATTTTACAGAAAAAACATTCTTACAAAGTGTAGACCCTAAGCAACCAAAAAATGTCAAATTGTCACTTTCATCCATCATTGAAATTTTCAAAAAGGGGAGGTGCAAAACGATCTCAGGGGAGGTGTAAAAATTCTCAGGGGAGGTGTGCACCACCGGCTCCACACACTTTCCCTCAAAATCCGGCCATGCTTCACACTGCAGCCTTCTGCCATCATCTCTACCTAAACTGCCACCAACTGTTTGAAAACCTTATGGCCTTTTATAATATGTTCAGGCAACTGTGTGAGCGTCTTACACCATTCTACCAGTCATCATCAAGATGCTACAAGACACCAATATTACAGTCCTTGCTGAACTGTTTGGAAGAACATCCAGACATGGAACTGGCTGTAGTTGCTAGAACTACTGGTCTAACTGAATGTCTAAAACACGAGAAGATTGCGGCAAGTGCCAAAGCTGTCGACGCCACAGATGCCGGGAATACAGAAACCTCTCTTCTACAGGCAACAAAGGTATATCACCTCTATGACCAGATGTGGATAAAATTTTACAGATTTTAGTATTGACTGTATTGTATGCTTCATCATACAATTTACCTTTTAGTTTGGGTTTAAAGGAAAAATGGAGAATTTTGTTTCGAAAGCTGGTGCAACGTCGCTTACGAAGGGTGATGAGAAAGGCAACACTGCTGTACATTATGCTGTGGGACAGCCTGAATTATTGGACAAGATATTGCTTAGGGCAACTGAACTTGGTAAGGGACTGGTCATTAATTAGAGGGGGAGGGATGGTGCAAATGAGATACACCATGCTTA